TGTCACTAAAACCTACTAACAAGTAAAAATACCGTATCATCGAAAAAAACGGCGTCCAGTTGGTTTGGAAACGACGATCGATGACATCCCCATATACGACATATTATGATCTTCTTTAATAACCTTTTTTAAAAGTTTTAAACTAATTAAAACATATCTAACAAGTTGTCTACTAATTTTTCTCTGGAATTGTATGTACAGATGTACAAGAAGCATGTTCTTACTAGTTTAACTTTGCCGTATTGGTACATCGGAACGCGGGACATGTAAATTTGGAAAGGTCAAGTATTATCTCTCCAGATGATTTTATGCAAAAATTGTATTCAACTTTTTGGTTGATTACATTTTGATACAACAAAGCGTTACATTTTGTATTCAACAAATATCAAACTTAACACTAATGCATATTCTAGTTATTATTTACAATATTAACATTACTACTACAACCAGTACATGAACCAATATTTAATCCCAAACTAGATAATTCTGATTTTGCTTGAGATATGGGGGTTTTGGGCCTTGAGACACTATCCAATTTTGATGTAGAGGTACTTGATCTCGGTATTTGATCTCTAAAATTTTATTTGATATTTGAATTTTATTTTTGATAGAATCCTCGACGAATCCCTCGGCCACTGTCGAAGATTTCCATCCTCCGTGGCGCTTCAAACTAAATATATTACCCCCTGCATTAGCAAGCAGTGATGACACTGTTCGCAATAGATTAAGAGAGGTCAACTTAAGAAGCAGACGCCCCTGGAGAGCTCAACCCTTAACGAGAGGAAATCGAGAGGTACGATATTTGGGGGCTCAAGATCATGTTCAGTGGTCGCGTGAACAATGGGCCAATGTTCTCTTCACGGATGAGTCACGCTTTGAAATTCATCCGGATTCGAGAAGGCTTAGGGTATGGAGAGAACCGGGAAATCTTATTCGGTTGTATCATGTTCAGGAAGTGCACCCTTATCAAGGTGGAACAGTTATGGTCTGGGGAGGAGTCCAGTTAGGCCGAAAAACCGATCTCGTTTTTCTGTAAAGGTTTCTAACAGGAATCGCATATCGTGATTTAATTCTTGAGCCTGTCGTGTTACCATATGCCAATTGTTTTGGGAGAAACTTCATTCTCATGCATGACAATGCACGGCCTCATACAGCCAGAGTGGTAAGTGAGTTTATCAATGCTGATCAATTAAACATCTTACCCTGGCCGGCACAATCTCCTGACCTCAACCCCATCGAGCACGTATGGGACGCGGTCCAAAGAAGAATTTTGAGAATGGGTATGCCTCGTGAAACTCGTAAGGGTCTGGTTCGGGCCGTGAATGCAGCGTGGCAGGCTGTACCTCAAGAAGAGATCGACAACCTGATCAGGAGCATGGAGAGACGATGTAGGGCTACAATGAACCGTAGAGGAGGCCATGCCCTTTATTAAGTAAAAATGGTTTTATCTTTTTTTTAATTCACAGTTTAGAATTAAAAAAAATGTGTGTATTTTTTTCAGTTCAATAAAAGTCAAGTTAAATTTGAAAAATTCGGTAAATTTCGCATTTTTTTTCCAATACGTCCAGTAAACTATTTGTTTATTTTAATTTTATTATATCAGAAATGCAAATAATAAAATTACTGAGGATGGCTGGATAAAATTGTAATATCCCTAGACTTTTCCGGTGTGTGTACTTTGGTGATCTCGATTAATTTTTCAACTCGGCTACGCCTCGTTAAAAAATTCAAGTATCGTTCACCAAAGTAGCACTTCACGCACTAGATACAAAAATAACTATTAAATAACTATTCCAAATGAAGCATACAAAAATTCTACACAAAAGTTCAACTTTAACGCCTCATCAAAAAAGTCTAATACCTACAACTTTTGCATAAAATCACCTGAGGAGATAATATTTACAAAAAAAGATAATTTTTATATTAATTATTTTAATTTTAACCTTGCTTCTGTTTGTTTTAGTTAAGCCGTATAAATGTCATCGGTGTAACAAGGCATATGCCTTAAATTCGACTTTGATCAACCATCGAAAGGGATGTGGTAAAGAACCTCAATTCAGGTGTACATTTCCACTTTGTGACTACAAGTCGTCTAGGAAAGGCAATTTAGAAAGGCACATTACTTATATGCATTGAAAGGGTACATTTATACAACAATATATTGCAATAAAAAATGCTATGTAAAAATTTCTTTGTCTTTTTATGTTTCTATGTAAAATTTTTCATCACTTACAAAAAATAGCAGCAGATATTAATAGCAATCTTCTTGCTTATACTTCTACTACAGGATCCGGCTACAAGATTAATACGCATCATCATATTTTTCATCAAAACCCAATCTTTAACGTATATTTATGAAAAGGGGCATTAGGGTGGGTCAAAAAAATTGACTATTTTTTTTTTCAATTTATACTTAAAAAAAGGTACCTCAAAAAAATTCTCTTTAAGTATGAGTTCTTAATTTGAAAAGGAAGGTACCGCCTTTCAGTTTTCTTTTTTTTTCCTTACTATTAGAAAGAAAACTTCATCTCGGTATCTACTATTTGGAAATAATTAAATTATATATAGAGATAGATATAGATATTTTAAAATATCTCGTCTCACATATTTGTAGAACATTGAATTCTCTACAAAAAACGTCTCTTACTAGAAGAAAAAAAATCATTTTTTTTTCTTCTAGATCATTTTTTTTATTTAATTATATCAACTGAAATATACTTGGATTGGAATTGTTTAGGTTAGGTTAGGTTAGGAAACGAATTATTAATCAAAAACTGTTAAAATTATTGTGCATAGGAGTTTGACGATGAATATCTTATAAACGGTTAATTTAATCGACTAATCATAAGAAACCATTTTTGTAGATCAGTGAATTTCCTACAAAACCACACTGATAAAAAAGATAGACTTGAACTAAAGTCGTCATCGTTCTTGAAAAAAAAATTAGTGGCAAGAGAATTAATTTTTTTAAAAGAAAATATTTTGCTTGAAGAAAAACTCTCTTAACTCAAGAAAACTGGTTCTCTTGAAAAATTGGAAAATTTCTCTTGAATCTATTTTCATTCAACCAAGTGCAAGTTACTTTGTTTTAAGATAATAAGAAAAATACGCTAGGAAGTACTTCATTCAAGAAACATGGCCATTTTTCCAATAGCTAAATACTCTTTTGATGAAAAATAATAAGGACACGCAAAGACGATGACGAAGGACGTTATATACAATCAGTCGGCAGTCCGATCAGTCGTACGTCGCATTTCATAGTCGCACATCATAGTACGCACGGGTTTTGTTGCTTGGAATTTTCCACTTGGAATTTTGCATAATTTGCTTTTTAAACGCATATCGTATAACAAATTAGTGATCGTTATTAACATGATTCTTTAAAGGAGTTTCTGAAAAAATGGAAATTATAGCATTTATTTGCTATATTTGAAGGCAAGAGACATTTACCTATTTTGATAATGCATGCGTGACTATAGATAAAATGAGAATATAGGTATCGATTTTTTTATGCAAATAATTACAAAAATTTTAGAATTTCAAGTCGTATTAAAAAATTCAAAATGTGACCAAAGCTTATAATTTTAATAATTTATTTGCTTTACTTTGATTAATCGTGATGTAATATTTTTTGGTAATTTGTAGAATGATGAACCACCCAAAAAAATACTAAGGAGTGAAGAAGCAGAAATAACTACTATCGAGGAAAATAATATCACTTTACATACAGACCAGGAAAACCTAAATTTATCAGAAAATAATATACCTCGTAATATGCCTGTATATGATGTATAGACTTCTCTTAGATCAAAATAAATTTTAGTTGAGTCGAAATAGTATTCGCTATTGGTTTAAGAAAAGTGTCTCTGTAATCAAGAAATGTCCCTTTTCAATCAAGAATTTTTGCATGAATCAAAGAGACTATTGTTCTTGTAGCAAGAACTTCTTTGCATATTCATTTTGGGTCAAGAGTGAAATACTTTGGACAGATAGATTCTTCTATTCTCTAAAGTAATTTTTTAAAGCTTGTGAAAAGATAGTTAATGCTTTGGGTAAAGAAACGTCGTTCTTGGCCCTATTGAAAAGCGCCAATCTTTTGGGTCAAAGTCGTATTCATTTCGACTGAGAGATCCCTTTTTTCAGTGCATGAGTTGTGCGCATCATAATGATTTTTTGTTAACGAGTTATAAAATTCATAAGAAAAAAGAAAACTGCCTTAAAATAATGAAACTTCAACCTTTAATAACTTTCGAACGGTGAGGTTAACAAAAAAATTGTTAAAAGACATTATTAAAAGAAATTGAAAAAGAGACATTTTTTGTACAGAATTTAATTTCCTACAAATATATGAGACTAGCTATTTTTTCCAGATAGTAGTATATATGTATAGTACTTTTTTCAAAATATAAAGTGAAAAAGAAAGAGTCAATTTTTTAAGCCACCCTAAGGGGCATACACTTTTAACAGGGTGCCGAACAAAAAGTTGCCGCAAATATGTTTAATTTTTTTTTTGAAACAATTTTTTATTAACACATATTCTTTTCATTTACATACAATTAACAATAAATTCTCTAAACAGTGCTTAAGAGCTCTGGCCTCGAGAATACATGACCTGTTGAATCAAGAGATTACTTAAAACCTAAGTATGCTTTAATTTGTTTAACAAACATCCTATAATTCTGTATACCTCTTATGTGCTCCGGTACCTTGTTAAATACCTTAGAAGCAAGTATTTTGGAGACGACATTACATTTATAACATTTTTTTATCACTTACATGTCAAATTAAAGCTATTTGTATAAGTAACAACCTAAAGTATGTGTATGTATAGGATGTATTCCAGGAAAATAGTTTAACTTCTAGTTTAATTTTAGGATGTTAGGTTTTTTGTTATTTGTTAGGTTAGGTTAAAATTTTTCTTTCAGTATGGCTAATTTACAAGAAAAAGTTAATTTTTATAATTGCTATTCTAATTTTAACCTTGCATCTGTTTGTTTCAGTTAAACCGTATAAATGTCATCAGTGTCACAAGGGTTATGCTTTAAAATCGAGTTTGTGCAACCACCTAAACGAGTGTGGTAAAGAACCCCAATTCAGGTGCATGGTTCCGTTTTGCGACTACAAATCGAAAAGGAAAGGCAACCTAGAAAGGCACATTAAAGACAGACATCATATGTATAATAATGACTATAACGTCGCTATTTTGCATTCTGTGAAGCCGAGCCGGTGAAATAGATACATATATAAACCTTCCGAAGGAATTTGTAGGTATAAGTTTTTGTTTGGGGGAAGTAAGACGCTATAGGATCGGCTGTTCAAAATTGAAATTCTTTCGGTCGGCTTTCATTGGCGACACTAGCCAGTTAAATTTTCGAAGATTGGACTTGCGCAAAACGCCAGTACTTTCCTGACAGATGAACTTATGACAAATATACATGGAACGTGTTGTTTCATCTATTATACAGGATAAGTGCAAATATTTTCAGGGGTGGTATATTTCGACCCCAGGAACACGTCTGTGAGATTTTTTTCGCTAAAAAAAAGATGTTGAAAATCGTGCATTTTCTTTTAAATTTCCCTGTATATGTTTCGACAACTTTTTAGAACTGCCTGTTCACCGCAAATTTTCCCACGGTTTAATTTCTTAATGTCTGATATTACCATAGTTATGGCTTTACTCTATGGTTACAGCAATAAAAGAGATGCAAATACAGAAATAATCCGGTGGCTCTCAAAATTTTTTCAAAAAAAAATATTTTTTTTTAGTTTTCAAACTTAAATAACTAGATTATTATATGAAAAATAGTAAAGAGTATATATGTTTCTTTTATCGAGATCTACCACCGTGTTTAAGAATTTTTCCGAAAAACTTACCGGTTTTTAAATAAAAAATATTCTAATGTTTGAGGGGTGGTTTCACCCCCTTAGAATTCGAGTTTCGAAAAATCCTTTCTTATCGAACCTCTACACCCTAAAGTCAATCCGTTTTTCAAAAATCAGCTTTTTACGTCAAGCGCTATAAGCAGGATCGTGATTCATCAATGACCACATTTTTCGAAACACTCTGTATACATTTTTAAAAAATCGTAAAATATGCAAAAAAACAAAATTAAATATACGTGTTTAAGCGTTTTTTCGGAAACTTGACCGTTTTTTAAATAAAAAATATTGTAATATTTGAGGGGTGGTTTCACCCCCTTGGAACTGGAATTTCGAAAAATCTCTTCTTATCGAACCTCTACACCCTAGAATCAACCTGTATGCCAAAATTGAGCTTCTTACGTTGAGTGGTTTGAGCAGGATCGTGATTAATCAGTGAGTCAGTCACTTAAGGATTTTATATATTAGTATAGATTATGTATTATTTTATTAAAATAAAATAATATTAATTTAATTAAATTCGTTGTTTTATTATTTTATTGTTTTGCTTTTTCACTTTAGGTTATCTGTCTGAGTGGCTAATTGTCAAGAAAAAAAATATAACTACTATAAAATTTTAATCTTGTATCTAATTGTTTTAGTTCAAGCATTTAAATGTCATCTGTGTAAGAAGCTCTTTGCCCTGAAAGCCACTTTGTGCAAACACCTATACGAGTGTGGTAAAGAACCTCAATTCAGGTGCATAGTGTCACTTTGTGACTACAAGACCAAAAGGAAATTCAACCTGGAAAGGCACATGAAGGACCGGCATGCAAAGAAGGACAATTATGGATTAGATATTTAGACAATACATTAATTTGAAATAAAATTCTTGTATCAAACTTCCATGGCCTTTTATTAATTTTCACTACAAAACTTGTTTTTTACTTACAAAATAGATGGAAATTTGACGAGTAATATTGTGAAGATGCATTCTGTTATAGAGTAAGATCCCAGATCCAGTAGTACAGATTAAAGTATCCTAAAAACTATTTAAAAACGTAAGTCAGAGAATTCAAGGTGTATTCTTTTTCAAATTAATATTTTTTTTTAGAAAATATGCGATAATTGTTTTGAGTAGTTTATAATATGCAATACATTAATTTACTTTAATAATTATTATTAATTACTTTAATAAAAAAGCTCATCTTATTTAAATAGAGATGCAAAAATATTAAATCGAAAGCAGTGAGTATATTTAAATACTTTACTAGGAAGTGCAAAGTTCTCCCGCGCTCATAGTCACGGCTAAATAATTTTTGTGTTTAGAGGATGTTTGGTCATTACAGTCTGTCTGACTGATTAAATATAACTTTATAATAGCTGTCTTAATACCATATGTAAAAATCTGACATGTAAAAATAAGTAGTTTATTTATTTCTTTTAGTAACCTTTCTCTGACACTTTTTTGAGCCACCCTGTAGAAGTTAAAATATTTTCCTGAAATACATCCTCGTATATACTTTATGACTGCACTTAAACAAAATTCTCAAGTTTTTTATTATATTTGCTATTGCCGGACCCTGTATAACGTATATATTGCAGTGTAAGTGTTTATTTAGGATACCATTTTGTCTATAGATTATCAAAAAAAATAAAGTAATTGTTTAATATTAATAACTATTGATTTGTAGATCTACTCAAATTGAACTGTCCAAGATGCAACAGGCACTACGCACAAACTTATACCCTGACAAGGCATTTACGTTACGAGTGCGGTGTGGATCCAGCCTTTAAGTGCCCTAATTGCCCCTATACTGCCAGACGAAAATTTTCATTAAAACAGCATTATCTTAAAAAACACGGCGATGCCAATATCATTGATGTAAATTATTTGTAAAACTATTAATAAATGAGTGAAGAAAAACATGTTTTTTTTATTTAACAGTTTTACTTAAGAGTCTATTACGCTCTACTTTTACTGTTATTTCAGAAATCTGGTTAAGGCTTAGCCCGATCCTGTCGTGTTAAGCCACACCCAAAATTCCAAACACACGTGCTTTGATTAAGGTTTGCAGAGCTTCAGAATTTGCCATAAAATAACGAGCAATTTGTTACAAATCCATATAAGTTATACAGGGTTGTTCACCACATACGACACGGAGTACTGTAGCTAAACGATTAGATTTTTACAAATTGTAAGTTTTGGGTTCGTTGAAGGCCTATTAGAGCTACAATTTAAAAATATTTTTACAAGATACAGAGTGTCCCAAATAAATAAAAAATATCAAAGTTGTATTTTTTTAAATGGAACACCCTGTATATTATTGCATTTTTAGTTTCTACGATTAAAATAAAGGTAAATTTGATTAAGGTTTATTTTACTTAAACCTTACCGTTTTTGAAATATTTTCAATTTTACGAAATTGCAGTATAAATTTTAAGGCTTCATTTCTCCGAGGATGTCAAAGTTTTTAATACTAAATATTTACTGAAGTTTATTTATTGATCAGTTATTGTGTTGCAATAATAAAAATTATACTACCTTATACAGAGTGTCTAAAAATTTATTTTAAATAATTACTAGCTTTAAACGGCAATAACTTATTTACTTTAAATAGAACACCCTGTATATTTTATGAGAATCAAATGCACAATTTAATTGTCTATCAAATTGTATTATACCATTTCTTACCTATACCTTCAAGTTTTCGTATAAAATGCATTTTCTTATAATTTAGACCTCATTTATCAATATACCCATGACATTTTAGATTGTTTTTATAACAATAAATGTACAAAATGTACAGACTAGTAATATTATCGTTTTTACTAAAACGATAATATTACTAGCCCATTTGTATGCTAAAAGAAAACTATTTAAATCTTTATAAAAGAGTATACCATTAATTAAATATACCACCAGTATTTCCGCCCAAATACTAATTAACTACATACTTAATTGTGTTCGTTAATAAATTATTCTAAATAAAGGTGGATTTGAATCAGAAATCAATATAATAATAAGTTATGAAAATGAACGTCTCTGTTGTTATAAATAAGCATGTGTCAAAAAATTAAATATCATTTTTAAGGTGTTACTTTTTACCACACTGTCTAATACACATACATAATTCAGTTTTTTAGTATTTGGAGCAATTATTATTAATCAACGCAAACAGTCAATTAATGTAGTTTGAATACTGAAATCATATTAATTGGTCCTCTTTAACAAATATTTAAACAGTTTTTTTTTATTTTTTAATGAAATAAACGAACTATATCGACTAATATTAGTATCTGTACTCTTTAAAAATTTGGTACATCTTTAAAAATAATCTAAAATATCAGTATTCCATGGGTATATTGATAAATGAGTTCTAAATTACAAGAAAATGCATTTTCTACGGAAACTTGAAGAGACAGGTAAAAAATGGTATAATACAATTTGATAGACAATTAAATTGTGCATCTGATTCGCGTAAAATATACAGGGTGTTCCATTTAAATTAAACAAGTTATTGCCGTTTAAAGCTTGTAATTATTTCAAATAAATTTTTAGACACTCTGTATAAGGTAGTAAAGTTTTTATTATTGCAATACAATAACTGATCAATAAATAAATTTCAGTAAATATTTAGTATTAAAAACTTTGATACCCTCGGAGAAATGAAGCCTTAAAATTTATACTGCAATTTCACAAAATTGAAGATATTTCAAAAACGGTAAGGTTTAAGTATAATAAACCTTAATCAAATTTACCTTTATTTTAATCGTAGAAACTAAAAATGTAGTAATATACAGGGTGTTCCATTTAAAAAAATACAACTTTGATATTTTTTATTTATTTGGGACACTCTGTATCTTGTAAAAATATTTTTAAATTGTAGCTCTAATAGTCCTTCAACGAACCCCAAACTTACAATTTGTAAAAATCTCATCGTTTAGCTACAATACTCCGTGTCGTATGTGGTGAACAACCCTGTAGATATCAAACTCAAGGCAATTAATAGTATTTCTAATAACGGTATTAAATTTAAAATAAATTCAGTTCTCTGTCAATTTGCAGATATTAGTTTAGTTTTAATAATCTGCTGATGATTAGCGAAACGCGAGTAAAAGTGCAAGGATAAAGTGTTTTGGTATATTGTCGTGAATTAATGTTATATTTTGCAATAGATACTATGTAAAATAATAATAATAATAGCTCCCGTATATAGAGTGGTAGAGTGGCCTTGGGAGTAGCAAGGTACAGCTTGCCATGCTAGAGCCGTTCGGTATACAAGGAAGGTAATGTGGCTAGCACTACGCTTCAACCACCTATTATTACCTCAGGATTGTGAATCCCAAGTACTCATTTAATGCTGAGTCGACCTAGGTACCCAAACTATTTTTATTTTATTAAAAATAGTCGGCTTATGAAATGCCGGGTATAGGATTCGAACCCACAACCTTGAGATTGGTAGACGAGAACTGTACCTCTACGCCACCGGGCACCTTTACTGAGTGTTGAGCACTGTTACTATGTAAAAAATCATCTAATACTTGAGCTTGATAAACTAAAAAATATAATTTTGTATACATTATGAGCGTTTGTACACGATAAGGCCCATATGTATATTCATAAGTGTGAATCTTTGAGATATTTATTGTAAACCTCAGGGCATTGTCTTTTCTTTTAACGCCCATAGTACTCAAATAAGTATTTTGAATGTAGTTAGAGTTAAATCTCCGCCCCATTACTATTTGCTTCTATTTCTTGTAGCATAATCATAGAAAGGTTTATAGGTTTTATGTTGTTGAAAACTTATTTGATAATTACAGAAAAAAAATTGAAAAAATACATTTGACTGCAACAATTTCTTACTTTACTAACTGATATATTTTTAGGTCAAGACCAAAGACACAAATGTCCAACCTGTAACAGAAGTTACAAGCACAAGTACCACCTGAAAAGCCATATTAAGTACGAGTGTAATAAAGAGCCCAAATTTGTGTGTTTCGCTTGTAACAAGAAGTTCCATTTCCAGTTCTTGTTGAACGCCCATATGAAGCAGACAAGTTGCAGAAGACTGTTGCCTATTTCTTGGAAGGCTATGTATGGAAAAAACAGTTTTTCTATATAACTGATTTCGTTGACTGCTTTCGGTAGTGCCATAATCAGTAATTATCCCTGAAAAAGAAATAAAAAATAGTATGCAACACTCAGTTTGTGTATGTATATACAGTGTGTTGATTTTAGTATAATATTGGTTAGATATTAATTCTTTTATGAAGTGAATTTTTGTAGAAAAGTGTTTAAGTGTGTTTTTATTATGTATTTTATGCTCTTAGATTGAAATTTTTTTTATTGATTTTTTAAATAAAAGTTATAACTTTATTATTCTCTTAAGATTTTTCTTGAATGCCATAAAATTCAATATTTATATTAAACTACGAGTTTTTACTAGATCACCAAACAATGATAGGACACACTGTGTATAGATAGGCTGTCTCGCTTATAAGTAGGGTTTTCATATGTCCGGCTTTATCCTTGTTTATACAGGGTGGTCCGATCTGTATTTCGGAAACTTCGGCAGCATATTCTGCAGATGAAAATAAGTAAAAAAGTTCGTATAAATGTATGTCCTAAAATGCTTAGTTTCGGAGATACAGGGTGTAGAAGATTCATTTTTATTACGAGTTTTTCCAAATAATTTCTGAAGTAACGTCAATATTTGGGTTAAAATTGGTGTCTAGGAGTTTTTTGACATGAGAAATTTGATTTTGATGTCAATATAACTCCTACTTGTAGGGGGCGCCACCTACATATGTTTTAACTCTTTTAAAGAGTAATAACTTTTCATCCGTACCTGTATAAAACTATTGAGTGAAAACATATACATTTGCGTGACTTTTTACGTAAAAAATGTCTCTTGGTAAAAATCGCTACGTGCCACCGCTCTGAAGATATTTAGAACGGAAATAGTCAATACCATGTCGTTATTGACCAAAAATAAACACGTTGAGTAAATAGTTATTTGACTGAAAAATAATAAATTTGGGATTTTTTTTTATATTAATCAAAAATTAAAATAAAAACATGATGATAAAACAATTTCTGTTGAACTTTTGGCACAAAAACATTTAAAATTTATGATTTCATTTCAGTTCAGTTTCAAGTTCAATTTTGGCCTCAAATTTTTTTGGAAATTTTCCTTTTTTGCTTTTTTTTAAATATCTCCCATATCCTTCATTTGTCTGTAATTAGTTATACATTGTTGGATAGAGCATAGGTGGTGCTCATTAACGCGAATTTTTTTACTTCTTAATATTGTACAGAGTGTTGTAGAAATCGATCCAAAGTCAAAAATTTGCAAAATCTAAAAATCTCGATAATGAAAAATTGTAAAATGATGGTTGACCCCTGTGTAGATAGAGCTTGTGGCGCCTTACAATTACCCCATTTAAATTGTGAATAAACCCATCTAAAACGAATAGTTTTTGAGATATTTCGAATAAAAGTTTTCAATTGTCGATTTCCTGATTCCCTTTGAAAAAAAATCGATTTTTGAATTTTTCAATTTTTTGTACTTTTTTCACCTGAAACGTGTAAAGTGCGTTAAAATATGAATATTAACAGCATTTTTCTCAGGTATTTTAAAAAATTCCCGAAAATTAAAAAATCGGTTTTTATTTTTTTTTCTCGCCCTGTATACGGCTTTTTGACAAACTTTGTTATAAAAATAGCTTCTCTTCCTCCTTAATATGGAATTTGTTTGAGGTAAATCGGTTAAAAAATAAGAAAGTTACAGTATTTAAAAAAAATTGTGTCGGCCATCTTTAATTCAACCTGGCGGAAATAGCAAGCCTCCTAGAAGGTGTAACTTTTTTTTACAGAGTACTATTGATGGGTAGTATCATCTGTGAAAAAATTCGCTTGATTTCAAAAACTTCTCCTAAAGGCAATTATTTCACCTAACTGCCCTGGCCTACTAGGGTTGTTTTATATATCATTACTCTTGCTTTGGCTTCTTTGTATATATTGGCGAGAGTTTCTATATAAGGCCTGTCAATACTTATATACCTAAATAAATTCATAATTTATCTTTCAACGCAGTCCGGATTTTGACCGGAGCTTTCTTGTCCGAAATTTTCGAAAGCTTGGGTGGAAACCCTACTTCTAAGGTATAATATTATGTTAAAGCCGCTGTAATAATTTTAATTATTTATAATCGTCGCTGTAATTTTTTAATTATTTTTATTTTATATATATATATATATATATATATATATATATATATATATATATATATATATATATATATATATATATATATATATATATATATATATATATATATATATATATATATATATATATATATATATATATATATATATATATATATATATATATATATATATATATATATATATATATATATAACTGAAAAGAATAATTATTTTCCATCATTGCATGAACTGATACATATGTAATCAAAAACTATTGTATATCCCCATTGCTCATCAGTGTTAAAATTATTTATTAGTTAATATTAGGTAGCTAAACATTATTTGTATTTATAGGACAGAAATTCCTAATACTGGCTAAGTAGGTTAAGTTAAAATATATTCATTTAAAATTATAGTAAAATTCGTATGTATTAAGGTAAAATAATTATTTTTATAGTCATTATGTCCCAAGTAGCAAAAATAAATTCTAAAAGGATTCAATTATTTTATAACAGTCGAATAGCGTTGTCTTAAGGAGTGCTTGATTTTATTAAGCGTTTGGTTTCGACCATTCTGTTTTTTAATAAAAGTTGTCATATTAAACTATTTTCTAGTGGTTTTTACAACGTATCCTATAACGCATTAAACGTTAATTTCTTTTAGTATGATATAACACTTAATAAGACAATGCTATATGATAAAAAACATATTATTTTATTAGACTCTTATACCCACCATGTAAGAGTTCTATAATATTCATATAACTAGTAGTCACAAGATCATATAATAGTTACTTAAAATTGTCTTATTAAAGTTGTATTACGTTGTATAATAGAATGTTTTATTGCATTAAACTACGGTGCTGTATACAACACTAGTTATATAGCCTTATGCCTTATATGATAAAATTGTGATTAACAAAATAAATTCGCTGTAATATTTGCATTATAAAACTGGTTATGTATAATATAACCTCATTTTAAATTAAATGGTATACCTAGTTATTTATTTTGTTATTGTTGTTGCAAAAGTAATATCTACGTAGAAGTATAATCACAGCTATTATGAATTCTGGACAAAATTGGAAAAAAGTTAACAAACGCAGTTGTAGTTATAAAGTGCATGTAAGAAAAAACTCCTCGAAATTACGGCAAATAATCCCGAGAATTCCCTGGGTTCCCAAAAGCCAAAATCTCTCGGGTTGTCTGGCTTCTTCAAAGCATTGTTGCCACGTTGATGTAAAAGTTTTACTGTAGTAATGTTTGTATTGTTTTATTGTTGTTTTTCCAAGTCCTTAGGTTGCCGCTCACTCGTCGGGCATGCATGAAATGCATTGCGTGTATGAATCCATGAAAATCTGATCATGTTTGTTAGTTTAAATACTAACCAAATGAGATTTGGCAACATCTATTTGTCACAAATCTCAATATGTCAAAAATAGTTCTATAGTGCCTGGAAATTCTGCGTAATGATAGATATTTATCCTATACCGTTTTATTTTACAACAAAGACTTATTTAAGGGATTCATTTATAATAAAATGGTTGCATTATAATTCGCCATGTTTTTAGGCAGAATTTTTGTATGGCCTATGGCCGCCATTATATGAAGCAAAATTAAAAACATCAAAATAAATTGTAAAATGTTATTTTTGAGAACTATTTTGTGATAAGATTTCCACATACAGTAATAATCTGTTTAATTAAATTAAAAACAAGAATTTTTGAAAATTTTATTTTAGTTTATTGTTTAAATTTAATCGTAACGTAAACCTTAATCGAAAATAAAGCGCTTTACTTTTTTGCCAAATGTACCAGTAATCTACCAGTAAAATTTTCGGCGCAACAAAAATTGTCCCTACTTTTCAAATCCAAATATTTTTTATATTATATATTTGTTGTACCTTCTGGCTCTACCCGCCATTTTCACCGTCGAGTAAAGTTCTCCTTTTTAACTATCCACATCCTCCAGTTTCATTTTACGACACGCTTAAAATATAATTTGCTCCTGATTTTCTTCGGTAAAAAATAAAATACTCTTTTACCTCGATAAATGATCAAATGTTTTTATTGTTCTATTTCTTAGATGTGAGCACGTAATACACAATAAAACTAGTTTTATAATAGTTATATAACGCTGTGTAAAATAGTTGCATAAGAGTTGTATACCCTTTTTATAGAACTTCTATACTACTAAACGGTTGTATAAAAATGGGCCTTTTTTGGTTGTAAAGCTATCATATTACGGTCTTATAGCACGTTATACGAACTGAGGTATCCTATAAAAATGATCACATAGCTGTTTATACAGCCTTTATAAAATAAAATTTGCTACTTGGGGTGTATTTAGATATTTTTGTGTATGACAAAGACTAGACTTAAAAATATACATTTGCAATTTATATTAAACCCTTTTTTTATAACTTAAAGTACAGTGTTGCACATAAAATCTTCAGAATACACGAAATATCATACGACACGATAAAAAAAACGTTGTTAGAGGTGTATTGGAAATCAACATCTCTCATTTTGTACGTAAAATTATATAGAGAATATCATGGAGCGTCATTTCCAAGCCAACTGGACCCTGTTTTTTTTTCGAGCACAACGGTATTAAAATATATATTTCTCATTATCAAATTTTCTAAGATTTAGCTAAAAATGTTAAAAAATTAGTTACTTTGTGGAAATATTCATTATAACAGTTAAAAATTACTGTCGTGTATACAAGGTGTTTTATAAATATAGCGGATATAATATGATATTGATAGCTGAAATGTATTAAAATCAAACATAAGCATTATTGAAATAATCAGAATAATTCAAAAACTACCAAAAATAGTTGTAGACAAGTTTTTAAAAAAATATAATCACATAAAGGGCAAATAAAAATACTCATTTAAGTGAAAGTCGACTTTATGTGTACCACTGTATATAAAATTTGTATGTGTATTTTTTATGAACTTGTTCAAGTTGCTTTGTGATATACATACTGTGCCATCGAAGCAAAAAAAAACGTAGGCATTCAAGTAACATTTTATTTCGGGCTACACTATCCTGAATTTGTTCTCAATGACAGCTAAATAAATGTGAGTTATTGAAAGGCTCTGTTATAAATTTTAAAATACGAATATAAAAATATTGATAATTTTTCTAATAAAAATTGTTATTTATTTCGAAGCATTTCTATGTTGCAGTTTTTGATTAAAGATTATGTTCAATAGATCTGTGTGGCCCACGGCCACACAGAAAGCGTTTTTAGCGTTTTGCGTTTTTTGCGTCTCAAGCGCTTTTTGCGATTTTACCGTTTTAAGCGTTTTTATCGATTTGTGTCCATTAAAAACACGCAAAAGACGCGGCAGGTCTGCAGTTTCTATCAAGATGTCAATTAGTAACGTCGCAAGCTCGTGGATTCCCGGCCCGTTCAACAATCAATCCTGTGAGAAAGAGATAGGCGAGATCGGCGCCGTTAGCGTTGAAAAGACGAAGATAAAAGACGCTGGGATTGAATTGTAGGCGGGCCGGGGCATATATTCGTAGACAAACACAATATACTGCTAGTGCCAGTAGTGTGTGTAAAAATAATAATTATTATTTGCCATTTATATTACGAATTTTAGTTTATATGTGTATAGTTTTTTTATATTGTAGTGTTGTGGTTAGTACTTGTCATAATTATAATATAATATAATAAATAATTATAATTATATAATAGAATAGTAAATATTTCTAGTGGCTAATGCAATTTTAGGACATGATTTATGAAACATTTTGGAGTAAAACTTCTTTACGCGCTCTGGGAGTAAAAATTCAAGGCCGTGACATACGAGCTAGTGAGACGGCCTTGACACACGAGCTCGTGGTAACGAAACGTGTTAACAGCTTAGAAATACGTAGTGACGCGACGTGTATTTGTGATCAGTACACGTGTTTATCAAAAATATAAAACAAATTTTGTAAAAGCGAATCAAAATTACGTGTAAAAAAACATTTGTTATACGTAAAAAACTATTTTTATTATTTTACGCGAATAAAACTGTTACACGTAATAAACTATTTTTTACGCGTATAAAACTATTTGTTACTGGTAGAAAACTATTTTTTACGCGTATAAAACTATTTGTTACTGGTAGAAAACTATTTTTTACGCATATAAAACTATTTGTTACGTGTAAAAATATATTTGTTACACGTAAAAAACTATTTTTTTTACGCGTCAAAAACTTATTGTTCCTGGTAGAAAAACTTTCTTACGCAAAAAAAATATTTTTTACGTGTAAAAAACTCTTTGTTACACGGAAAAAAATAATTTTTACGCGTCAAAAACATTGTTTCTGGTAAAAAAACTTTTTTACCCAAAAAAAATATTTTTTACGTGTAAAAAACTATTTGTTACACGTAAAAAACTAATTTTTACGCGTCAAGAACTTATTGTTTCTGGTAAAAAAAGTCTTGTTAGGCAAAAAAAATTACGTGTAAAGAACTATTTGTTACACGTAAAAAACTAATTTTTACCTGTCAAACTTTTTTACCCAAAAAAAAAATTACGTTTAAAAAAACTATTTGTTACACGTAAAAAACTATTTTTTACGCGTCAAAAACTATTTGTTTCTGTTAAAAAAACTTTTTTACGCAGAAAAAACACTTTTTACGCATAAAAAACTATTTTTTACGCGTAAGAAAATATTTAATTTATTACTTTTACAAGATTTCAAGCTACACTTTTTCAAACATTTCCTTCAAATTTTTGAATTTAATAGAATCTTCCTAAACAGTAGATGTTCTTTATAAAAATATTTTTAGATAATACCCTAAGATGAAAAAAAATGCATACTATTTAATTTATTTTTATTGTATTATTAAATATAACGTCCGCCTATGATGGGGTCTCATCTTAGAAAACGCTAAAGACGCGACAGAAAACAAACTGATTTGTTTTCATTTGCGTTTTTTGCGAGACACGCCGAACGCTACACGCTTTTGGTGTGGCCACTCCTATATAATCCTGTTATTTTGTTTTAGTCGCTAAAGACGCTTCACGCTAAAAACGCAAAAAACGCTTTCTGTGTGGCCGTGGGCTTAATGTGAAGAACTTGAGAAATATACATAGTAAAGCTCGAATTGAAATGCTACTTCTAAGCCCACTATGACGTCGTTTTCGTTCGATCATAAGCTAGTTTTTATTATATTATTTGACAGTTTAAATCATACTTAAATATACTATAGAAACACATTACTCTAGGACAAACCATATGTAAAATAGACTTGTATAAAATAGGACTGTTTAACCATCTTAGATGTATGAATAAAATATTTTAAAACATATGGTATGTGTCTTGATATCATTTTTATATACAGTATTTTTTATTTTTTAACCTCTGTAATTGGCGAGGAACCTAATAACCTTTTTTTAAAAAGTAGGTTTATAAAATTTTGAAGAACTATTAACATATCTAGATATCACAAAAAGTAAAATTACCTCTAGAAAAAAAGTCAATATATGATATAAATCAGGATTGATTGACGTATTCAATTAGTTGTAGAATGTAGAATTCTACATTCTTCTACATTCAATTAGTTTCGGTCATTTCCTGTTTCACCGGAAATTACTCCAACTTTTGTTTTTTAAATGGTACCGTCGGTATTGTTTTACTTTATTTGATAGAGACTGACATTCTGAATAGAATGACATAAGTCCCGTTTGACATTTTCACATAAAAAAATATATTTTAAACTTCAATCTAGAATGTCATGGTTGTGTTAAATGTGCTAATAGTTAATCAACATAGTTAATCAACAGCGCAATAGTTCATCAATTATTATACGTTAAGTACACTAAAACTAAAAAAATATAGTGTGTCCACTAAAACTGTCCTATAATACATTTAATCGTCGGAAAACAATATAAAATTATTTGGAGACTAGCTGAAAACTGCCGAGTACCACAAGATGACACGCAATATGGCCGCTAATGTCAAGTTACGAGGCAACCTGTTTAATTTAATAACCTTGTCCTGTACTACACCCTGTACCACACCTTACCTCACCAATTATGGATAAAACTTACTTTTTGTTGTGTTGTGTTGCTTGAAAAGTATGTATATATTATTTTATTTTTATTTAGTTATTTTATTTTTGTATTAAATTAAAGAAATTCTTTCATTTTTCCTGTGTTCCTTTACTAATAAAACTTACTTTTAGGTCATTCGAGAGCTCGTAACCGTAGATCATACAACAGATTTCATCCTGACAGAACTTTCAATTGTCCTCGATGCTCGAAACCGTACAAATCCAAGAAGGCCATGACTACGCATCTAAGATTCTCCTGCGAAAACAAACGACAGTTCTTCTGTAGCGTATGCCCTGCTGCTTACTTCTACAGCCATCATCTGAAACGTCACATGAATCATCAGCATTCGATGATTTTGCCCAATTGCAGTCTGGGTGTTGATGAGGGAGATAACATGAGCAGCGGGACTGTAAAAATGAAGGAGAATATTTAGCTAATACTGATTTAATTTGATCAGAAGGAGAATGTCTGAATTAAAATTTAAATCACGTTAATGTAAATGTACAGGGTGTAAAAGATAAAGTCCCGAACTTCAATGGATGATACTAAATACTACAGATAAAAATAAAACAAAAAATGCCTTAGAGTAGAACCAGAGCCGCAACAAGTCTTAAATATAAAGTTCAAATGACTTTTTTTTTCGCATATCGACATCTGTTACCGTTTCGGAGTTACGGGGTGTTTTTCAAAAATATGCATTTTTAACAAATCGCTGTAACTTTTTTGCTATGAATAATTTTGTATTTTTATGAAAACATTTCCAAAGCACCTTTTTACGCAGAATTTAATGGTTTAAGTATAATTTTTTTAAAATTAATAATTTAAGAGTTATCAAGAGAAAAATTGATTTTTTATTTGGGACACCCTCTATATTTTTAATTAACTGAAAAGAATTTAAAATTACCTTTCCAAAAATATACTTGCGAGGGGTAAACACCTGTGGATTTCTGGTGTACACCCATATGGATTTCCGTGGATTTCCATGGATGTCTGTGGATTTCTGTGGATTTCCATGGATGTCTGTGGATTTCTGTGGATTTCAATGGATTTCCGTGGATTTCTGTGGATGTGTATTAGATATCTGTGGATTTCTCTAGATGTCGTTAGTAGATTTCCTGACAAAAATGTGTACACCAGAAATCCACTTTTGATAAATAAATCCAAGGAAATCCACAGAAATCCAAGGAAATCCAAAGAAATCCAAAGAAATCCAAAGAAATCCAAAGAATTCTAAAGAAATCCACAGAATTCCAAAGAAATCCACAAAAATACACAAAAATCCAAAGAAATCTAAAGAAATCCATAGAAACCCAAGGAAATACACAGAAATCCAAATAAATTTATTAGTTATTTATTATTTATCTAAAAAATATTAGATTGCATTTTAAATAGTAATATAATAAAATAATATAAAGTCGATATAGTATATTTCAGGAGATTTCTATATGACATATGACCAAAGTAATAAAAAAATTGAGAGTGAGTTTTTTTATGTGAATAAACGTCTATTTCACTTACTATTAATATTATGCGATGATAAGTATTAGTTTAAACGTCAAAATGAAATAAAAAGTAATAGACTTGGGACCATTTAAGCTGCAGTTTGACAGAATTTGTTATATAGTAAGTCATTAATACAAAGGTCCTGTTGTTTTTATTCTTCTTTTTTTTTTGTTATTATATTTGTTGTGTCCTCCTAGTATACTATAAAAATATCCTTATTTGTTAAATATGAAATAAAACTATTTCAGTATACAGTATAAAGTATAATTATTGGGTCCAATTAAAGTTGCCGATTTGTTCATTCAAATTGATATTTGTATTAATGACTTACTATATAACAAATTCTGTCAAACTGCAGCTTAAATGGTCCCAAGTCTATTACTTTTTATTTCATTTTGACGTTTAAACTAATACTAATCACCGCATAATATTAATAGTAAGTGAAATAGACGTTTATTCATATAAAAAAACTCACTGTTAATTTTTTTTATTACTTTGGTCATATGTCATATAGAAATCTCCTGAAATATACTATATCGACTTTATATTATTTTATTATATTACTATTTAAAATGCAATCTAATATTTTTTAGATAAATAATAAATAACTAATAAATTTATTTGGATTTCTGTGTATTTCCTTGGGTTTCTATGGATTTCTTTAGATTTCTTTGGATTTTTGTGTATTTTTGTGGATTTCTTTGGAATTCTGTGGATTTCTTTAGAATTCTTTGGATTTCTTTGGATTTCTGTGGATTTCTTTAGATTTCTTTGGATTTCTGTGGATTTCCTTGGATTTATTTATCAAAAGTGGATTTCTAGTGTACACATTTTGGTCAGGTGCTTACCCCTCGTATACTTGATATTTTGTTATAATCCCCTTCGAAATACAGAATTTTTAAAAGTTTGCCACTTTTAACTAGTAGGCTTTGGACCCCTTATTGATGATATGCCCTTAATGGAACTCGAAAACATATTTTTCCAGCAAGACGACTCGCCGCCTCTGAACGCTGAACTTATCAGCACATTTTTGCAGCCAATTTCAAGAATAATTGAATAGCTAACCAAGATTCCAGCCGTTGGCCGTTGGCTGTTGGCCGTCGAGGCCGCCTGACTTAGTGCCCATGGATCTAATCCTATGGATATATTGGCGGAAGAATAAAGGTTCCTTATTCTTCCGTATAATCTAGACAAGAATTAGAAATACTTAGCAGTTATGAGGGGGTATCTTTCACCCCCACTGAGTTAATGAATTCCGCGAGAAATGTTCAAAAACTGCCCCGTCTCTCCATAACAGAAGACGGTCGATATGTCGAACACCTGTAGCAAAATCTCATGTCTTGGTTTGCTATTTATTTTTATTGTTATTAGATATAGTTTAAATGTGTTGATGTTGGTTAAATATATTTTAAATTGTTATAAAATTTTGCATCTCTCATAGCAAATATTATTTTCGCTTTAATTGATGCTCACAGGTAGAATTTTTTTGCATTACAGCCGGTGCCGTTCAAAGCCTACTTATTTAAAGCGGACGAATTTTTATATACTCTATATCTCGAAGAGGAATCGAGCAAAATATCAAGTGTGTTATATTTTTGGAAAGGTAATTTTAAATTATTTTCAATAAATTAAAAATATACAGGGTGTCCCATATAAAAAATCAAATTTTCTTTTGAAAATTTTTTTTTCATTTTAAAAAAATTATACTTAATCCATTAAATTCCACGTAAAAAGGTGATTTGGAAAACTTTTCATAAAAATACAACATTTTCTATAGCAAAAAAGTTACAGCGATTTGTTAAAAATACATATTTTTGAAAAACACCCCGTAACTCCGAAACGGTAACAGATGTCGATATGCGGTTTTCACCATCACGTTTTTGACAAAAATTGAGCTCCAGACACCGATATTAGTTTTTGTCTATCTCCTATAGAAAAGGGTGTTTTCATTTAAAAGCGTCGAATTTGACATACCCTGTACAGGTTGTCCCATTTTTGTGTGTTTTACAGGGTTTCGCGTTTATGAGCAGCGGTACAAAGATACAGTTTTCGCAGTTGCTACTTTTTATATGAAACTAAAGATGGTAAACACATATTTGATGCCGCTGTTAAAAATATATGAAAAAAAAAGACTTAAATCATTTAAAAGAAAGGAAGGCAAAAATGCAATAATATACCATTCAAAAAAAATTATCCCGATCTACTCACACTTTTTTGAACCGCCCCATATTTTCCTGAAATACATCGTAGTAGATACCTACTTCAGATTTGCACCTAAACAAAATTCCCAAGTTTTTTACTCTAAGAGCTACAGATGCCCGACGCACTATTGCCGAACCCGGTATATTCATCAGACTTTTTTTGTTTTTCTCTTTAGAATCATCTAAGAAGGTTTGGCACACTATTTCTTACACCCTGTATAAGTAGTATTATTAATTAACAAGAAACATTTTGGATTTCTTAAAGCGGCTCAGTGTCACTGATGCAGTTTGACTGATTCATTATCAATGAAATGTTGATTAATGAAAAAGAAAACTTAATTTTGAATTTAGTCTTAAGTTAATATCTCTGTAGACAATCTATTATTGTTTACAGAAATTTGAATATCTATGTACTTATGAGATCATTATATGTATTTAAGAATATAAAAAAGAGACTAGCATATTAATTAATAATAACAAGAATAATAATAATTTCAATGCACTTTTGTATAAAATTTATTCGAATTTTTAGTTAAATGAGTTACTTATTATTTCTACCAAAGATTAATTATTTTGCCATTGACATTAACCAAAGATTTTCAAATTTAGTTCCTAAGATAGGTAATTTATATAATATTTTTAAATTGAGATTTTTTTGAAATATCTTTTTGCATTTCAAGATTTCTCTGTATAAATAATTACACTTTTTAATTAACTATTAAAGATATAGAGATATAGGTAGTACTTTAGTTTAAAAATGGTGTTTTAGATTAGGTATTTTTCTTAAACTAAGATTTATCTAGTCAAAAGGATATACATATTATGGATAGGGTCCTATTTGTTGTATAACTTTCATTTTTCTGTATTTTTTTTCACTATTTCAGTTTTTTGTTTGTTATAACTTCCATTTCTTACCACCTTGACCCCTTAAATTTTTATGTAGATATAATTTAAAATTTAGTATATTTTGTTCTAATGGATCTAATTTATTTTTTGGCTCATTTCAACAGCTATATTTTGCAGATATTATCTTTTGAAGAAGACTTGTTGGTACAGTCTTCCTCAAAAGTGAATATCTCCAAGAAAAATAAAGCCTATTGAAATAAATAAAAAACAAACAATCGAGAAAAGTTAAATTTTGACAATAAAGTGCGTTTTTAGTTCCTCACTTTGTTAAATCTTTCGACAGGGTGTGGACTTTTAATATTTAATTTGAAAAAAGGCTACATGGTCTTCTGCTTAAAAAAAATATCGGCCCAAAATCGGCCCGGTAGAACAAAATACAGGGTGTCACAGAAATAAGTGCAAGTATTTTAGGGGTAATTTGGTAGATCTCGATAAAAGAAACAATATTTTCTCTTTATCGTTTTTCAAATATGTCCAAAATAACGGAGTTCTTTTACTTTGAAAATTTCCACAAAAAAAATGATTTTTTGCTCAAATTTTGAGAACCACTGGATCTTTTCTGGATTTTCTTTCTTGTAGATTTAATCTACTATAGTCTATAAAATGAATAACTTTGAATTTTGACCGTTATTTTTTACCAACATGGCAAATATAAAATCCCTCTGTCAAAAAAGTTACTGATATTCTTTAAATTGAGTGCCTGAACGAATCAGATAGGTAACTCTTTTTACTTTCGTGAAATAGAAAAGGAAAATAATAAAACAAGTGACAGTTCTTCTTCTTCATGCAAAAATCAAAACGAAATGTCATAATTGACAAAAGTAAAATGTCATCAGCTTTTGGCATTTCTAAATATTAGAAATGTCAAAAACCAAACCAAACCAAACCAATGCCGTCTCTAATAGAACAGCCACGGAGCGAGATTTATGACGTCACGCTAGTCAGATACTACGGATTAATAAATATGTTGTAGAATACATGGAAAACGTAATTATTCCTCGTATTTTTGGTTTGTATTTTAAAAATGATATAGTTTACATGAAATATACATAATATACAGTTAATAAATACAATATAATATATACCTATTTATAGTAATAATACTTATATACTTATATACTTTGACAAATAAACTATTTTGCCGCAAGTTGATAACCTAATAAAATTAACACTAGAAAAGCCCGCGGGAACTGTCAAATTCAAAATTATTCGTTTTACAGACTATACCTATGTTACCATATTATCAAGAAATTATGTTTTTTTAACTAAAAACTGAAAAAAAAATCCAAAAAAATTCGAATTTAAAAAAAAAATTCGCGGAAGAAATCTCATAGGCATGTTTCTGGGGTTGAACTATACTACCTGTTAAAGTACTTGCACTTATTTCTGGGACATCTTGTATATTGCAGTTCAAAAAAACATGAAAATCTTAAGGTGTAAATTTATTGTACCAATCAATATAATTATGACTGATATCAAAGTTTACAAGTGAGCTTTACTGATATACAGTGATAATTTTTAAGCAGTGTCATGGTTACTTTTAAAACAAATATTTTCCTATACTATCTAAATTTTTGAATTAAAATTTGATATTAACTATAATTATTTTTATGTCATTCTGATTTTGTCATTTTTGTTAAGTAAAACTGTTTTGTGTGCAATCTTTTTTTTTCAGTTTTTAAATTAGTACAAATTGATATTAATATTGTATATGTATGTGTGTCTATGTACGTGGATTTCAAGTAGTAGTTCAATTATTGATTGTAATATATAAAATTACCAAAGCAGTTGTGTTGTTTATTCTTTTATCTTTTGTTTTTTGTGGTCTAATTTTACGTAAAATCAAAATATCTAATATAATAAAAAAGAAATTAAAACGTTTTAGTGTACTAAAATCTATTGTATATAAAATTTTGAGACAAATTGTTAAAAACAGTGAAAATAAACTACAACCTCCGTTTGCTAACCACAAATCTTGTGTATATACACTTCTAATAACGCCAGGTGTTGTGTTTTTCAATGTGCTTTACAACAGGGGTAAGGGACGCACTCATATTTCTGTTTTCTAAAGGCACCCCTACACGTCAATGTTTGTCGGACACATCAATGCCGTTCCGACAAATATTCACGTGTGGGGAAGCCTTTAGCCCGTATTTTCCTTCAACGTTATTCGATGTTTTAGATCTTTCCGACATACAATTGCCCATGTTACGCCGACCAAAAGGTAGAGGTAACCATCGTTGCCTGTGTGGCAGAACCTACTACGAGAAAAAGAATTTGGTGAGACATCAGAGATTGAAGTGCGTCATTCAGTTTCAGGATATCCAAGAATATACGGATATTCATAAGTTAAAGATTCAGTTGTAGGGAAAAGATACAGAAAGAAGGTTTTATTTCGAAAAAAAAATTAAGACTAAAAATAATTTTGTAATCATTACAAACTACTTAGAATATATTTATTTAGACTTATTTTGGTTGAGGAATTTGAAAGTATGTACTTATATTTTACTTAAATTTAATTATTGTTTTTATTAGTTTTTTTATTATTATTATTGTTTCATTTTATAACAACTTATATACATTTCCCTCTATCGAGTTTTATTTTGTTTTTTTTTATATTATTATATTTGTGTTTTGTTGCTATACTGTTTACGTGATAGATATAACCAAATAGAATTTAACTTTATTATAGTTTTATAATTATATGAAAAGAGGTAATGGAGTATTTATTTTAATATGTTTTACTGGATAAAATACAGCATGTCCCAATATTTCGTGTAGATAGAACTACTATGTATTTTTGAAGAACAAAATCCATATTTTGGTTGCAAAAATACGTAGTAGGGCTGAGTACATGAAATATTGCGACACCCTGTATAATATGTAACTGTGACAATATATTATTGCTGTTCAATCGTTATGGAAATGTAAAATTATATAGTACAAAAAAAATAACAGAACTTTGTGTAGTTTGATATTAATATTATTAAATTTTAAAATATTAGTATCAAATAATAACGGTTCACCTTTGCTAACCAAAGTGCCTTTCTTATACAGGGTGAAAATAAAATTATATAACAACTTTTTATAAGTCTCTCTGTATAAAGGAGGCGTATGAAAAAAAATACGCTAAAAATTATCTACTAAATATTTTAATAAAATGTTTTTGATATAGAGAAATATATATTTTATACCGCTTTGTTGTCAAATTGACTGAATTTTTGATAATTGGTCATTAAACTATGTACTTAATATATGTACAGGGTGTCTGAAAAAAATATTTACCTTTATAAAAAAAATATTTTATTTTGAGAAACTCTTAATTATTTTTTTCCTGCAAATGTGACTAATATTTTTAGACACACTGTATATATACATATATTCTCCCTTATATAATCAAGGGAATTTAATTATATTTAGTTACTTAAACCAAAATATTATTTATTATTACATAGGTGTGTGTTGGGTGCAATATGATATATTTTATATTAGTTATATTTGAAAAAAAATCAGTCATTTTCTTTGAGATTTTGCTGTATTTTTTCTTTAAATTAATTTAGATAAGTATTTTAATAAATTATACAGGGTGTCGCAGAAATAAGTGCAAGTATTTTATAGGGTGGTAGGTCTGGGCCAAAAGAAACATATTTTTTCTTTTAAGTGGTTTGAGTAAAATCTCAGTGAATTGAATAACCTAAAATTCATCAGCTAAACAGATCGGCTATTTACATATCTAATAGATGGCACTGATTCAAGATATTCAGAAAGAAGGCCAAACAATATTTGATTTATAAATATATCGTAATATGACAGAAAAAGCTGCTATAATTGATCATTATTTAGAGTTTTATTATTTCAAATTACTAAGCTGTAAGAAAAGTATTTAAAATAGTAGACGTTGCACTATTATTGTGTTGCTTGAGTAATCTACAATGATTAAAAAATCTACAATACAAATTTAAAAATGTGAACTCATAACTTATAAACATCCAGAATGTGGATAACGTAGGAGGTGGCAACATTGCATTCTCTCAAAGCACTATAAACAAATTTCCTCAAACTGAACAAGCGGCACTCAAAAGTTTTTCGATATTTTCCGGAAAATGTCAAGAAAAATATAAAATTTTCAACAATTTGTTTCGCAAAAAAACCTCATTGGCGTGTTTCTGGGGTCGAAATATACTACCGGTTTAAATACTTGCACTTTTTTCTGGGACACCCTGTATACTATTATTTTATTGGATATTCGAAAGTTATGGTATGACCTGTATTGTTAAATCAATAACTCTAACTATTAAAAAGTAAAACTTTTGGTGTTTATAAAATTGCGGAAAGTATTTGATCAAAAGAAAATTCTGTGAAGTTAATTATAATATTTATGAAAAATATGAGTTTATATGGAACACACAAAATCTGAAATAGAAAATTAATTAAAGAAGAGTAATTGCTAGCTTGAGACTAGTACAAAAGTACAGTTGTACAAATATAGGAAGAGACTTGGGGATAGCACCGGTCGCGTGTTATTTTATATTTCTCACGTCTCTAGCTATATATACTATACAGGGTGCTACAAATTCGAGATACGAGCATTGGTATCTGGAAACCGTAAGAGATACGGAGATGGTTAAATTGGGGCAAAGTTGCGCTTTAGGATGTTCACCAAGATACCATCAACAAAGTTTTAAAAATTTCAAGGATTGCTGAGTTTTTTGGAAAAAACGGATTTTTTTTGAAAATCAATTTTATTTTTTCCTGGCGTTACTTTTTAAAAAATCAAAAAACTAATTGCACATTCTCATGGCTACTTTATTAGGGCTATCTGATAGTGTTTTTAGATTTTCAAATTAGCTGATAATTTGTGAGATACAGGCATTTTTTATTTCAGATTTTGAAAGAACTCGGTCTCCGGAGTACAATCATATGCCACACTTAACATTTTTTTTGTTTCGGCATGTGAACACAATTTAATTATACCGTATGATCGAATAAAAACGGCGTCCACGATGGCTATGAAATGAAGATCGCTGTCATTTTGTATGTAAAATTAAATGGGGAATGTCATTGATGTTCATTTCGAAGCCAACTGGATTCCGTTTTTTTTTTGATCATACGGTACTAATGTTAAGTCCGGCTCTATTTTTTTAAATATTTAATCTATTCATCGTTACAATATTGGTAAGCTTTTAAACTTAACAATGACGTGGAGTAAAACATTGAATACGGATAATCAAATGCAATTAAATAATAAAAAATAATATAAAATTATTGGGCATTACTTGACAGTGAGAATACATTTCAACATTACAATAAAGAGTACAGAATGCATTCGGAAGTATAAGAAGAAGATCTGTTCAAAGAGCTATAAATAAGATTGAACGAAAAATACATTAATTTGCGCATTAGGGACGGTGGTAACCCTTTCGAACATGTAGAGCATTACTAGTTTTAGAAAAACTAGTTTATAAAAGTTGATTTATTTATAATAACTACAATTAATATTATGCATATTATTAGATCGTACACTGAGATTTCAAAATCACAATAAAAATAATAGTTTTAAATTGCTGACCTGGGTATTATTTGTTTGAATCTTTCAATTGGCTCGATTCAATGTTAATTAGCGCTGGTCCATATTGTTGCGATGATATAATCAGATTAAATAATTTAAAAAACCAGAGTGGGACTTGAAATTATTTTAAATAATAATTAAATAGTTTTGTTATTGTTAAGGTACCTAAAACAAAAAAAAGTATCAAGTGTGGCATATCATTGTACTCAGGAGATCGAGTTCTTTCAAAACTTCAAATAAAAAATGCAGGTCCGTATTTAAAAAAATTAAGTTGGCCTCTGTATCTCACAAATTATCAGCTAATTTGAAAATCTAAAAATACTATCAGATAGCCCTAATAAAGTAGCCATGAGAATGTGTAATTAATTTTTTGATTTTCTAAAAAGTAACGCCAGGAAAAAATAAAATTGATTTTCAAAATAATCCGTTTTTTCCAAAAAACTCAGCAATCCTTGAAATTTTTAAAACTTTTTTGATTGCATCTTGGTAAACATCCCAAGGCACAACTTTTTCCAACAAAACGATTACAAAAAAAACGACTGCAACCAAAATTGGATACTCTGTTCTCAACTTAAATGTTACATCATTCCATTAGGAACAAACATTTTATTCTGTATATCTGCGTTACAAGCAACTTCCAGACATACCATCAACTTTTGAATATTAATTTTTATTATTTTTTTAATAGTTTTATTTAATTTTAATTTTGGATTTTTATGAAATTTTAGATGAAAATGCATATTTATACTTAAAAATTGTGGGTTTGGGGTTTTATTTAATCACCGATTATTTACTTAATTTTATACTTAAATTGTTGTTACATTTAAACGTTTTTATATTAATATTATTTCACTATATTTATCTAAATAAAATTATTTAAAAAAGCTTTCGCATTTTCAACTGTACCATGAGTATCACTGTATCATTACGCATGTTACTTAAATAAAAACGTATAATTTATTCACTAAAATGTTTTTGTTTTATTAACCAAGGAACTAAATCTGTTCCAGATGGTACAAGAGCTGAACTGGAAGACTATTCTGAGCCCGTTATGGATATAGATGAAATTCTTTCAATTAAAAACGTGTTGAAGCCGAAATCTGACAATTTTGACAGCACGGACAATGATGAAATATTGCCCTTCGTTTGTCCAAAATGTGGCCGAAGCTACAAATGGAAGAGCTCATTGAGAAATCACGTGAATATGGAGTGTGGAAAGGAACCCCAGTTTGAATGCCCGTACTGCGAATACAAGGCTAAACAAAAGGGTCACGTTATCAGACACATTGGGAGGTTGCATAACGAAATGTTGTCTGAAATTGACTATAACGGTTGGAAGAAACAGAAGATGGGAAAATCAGTTGGTGGACGAGTTGTGAAGGGTCACAATATGAAGCGTTGAAGCTTCATATTGTGATTGAACCTGCGATAGTTTAAGGTTTATTTTGACTGCCGTCAGTTGTTTCAGCATTATTAATTGCTAGGAACTAAATACAAACACGTAACGAAACTAATAACGCCAATGGACGTTATGATCTATATTACAGGGCATTATAATCAAATAGTTTAACACAACACCTAGCAATACGATATTTGTCTTTTATACTTTGCATATAGAGGCAGAAAAAAACAGTAGATAACTTTTAAACACTGCTGTTTTTCAAAGCATTCTCCACGAAGAGAAATGCATTTTTACATCCGATGGAAGCAATTCTGAAATCAGTTATTCCCCTCGCGCGTTCAAAAATTGCGTTTTTGAACGCGCTGACTGCATCTTCTGTGGACTGGAACCTTTAACAATGTATTTTATTCTTAATTTTTGGAAAAGTCAAAAAGTCGTTAGGACTTAGGTTGTAACTGTATGGAGGATGCTACGACAATTGGTTGTTTTCTTACTTTAAAAACTTAACTGTTTTTTGAGCTGTATGGGAACGTGCATTGTCTTGGTGGAGGATCATTCGTCGTTGAGGGTTGCTATGTATGAGATCTTTGAAATGCCCAATAATGCTTCAATTTCATCAGCTTACATACTGGATTGACGTTTCCTGTGGGGTGATTGTCGTTGTTGGTGGACCGTCGCTTAAGTTAACTAAAGATGACAGTTAACTTTGATATTTTATATACAGGGTGGCCCATCGAAAACGTTCCGCAAGGCATAACGGCCAGGGATATTTTTTTTTCAGAAAATTGAAAAACGTCAATTTTGTTGTTGAGGGGGACACCGTTTGTCCCAAAAATGATTGCAAAATCTTCAACCCTCTAAGCGGGGGTGTCATCCCTCAATTTTTCTCAAATGGGAAGGTTTGGTTTTCTGTGACTTGTGCGTTGCAGTTCTTCTCAATATCGTTAAACTTTTTATCAATTATGTTGTACTCACTTGCAGAAAAAGTGGAAATAATCGAACTTTATTTTAAAAATAATAAATGTGCGCAGATATTCAATGAACGCCATCCTGACAAACACCTTTATGGCAACATTGTTCGCTAGTTAGTAGCAAAATTTCGCGAAACTGATTCTGTTATGAATAAAAAGTGACAGAGGGAAAATCCTGTATTAAATGAAGCTATGGAGGTATTCGTATTGGGTCAAATTGCAATGGATAGTACGCAATGGAAGAGTACAAGAAAATTAACCAATAAGACCGGCGTGAATCGTATACAAGTGTCCAAAGGATATTAAAAAAACACAAGTTCCACCCGTACAAAATTCAGTTGGTACAAGAACTCAACGAAGACGATTTTGATCGTCGCTTGCAATTTTGTAAAACTATGAGTGAACGAGTGGCGAATGATAATAATTTCCTATTTAATATATATAATAATGTGTGTTTTTCGGACGAGTGTACTTTCTTTCTGAACGGTGCAGTTAATCGGCACAACTGTCGGTACTGGGGTGAGGACAACCCCAGGGTTTTTCACGAGGTGCACAAACAAAACCCTCCGAAATTGAACGTGTGGGCTAGTATTTTTGGAAATTCTATTGTAGGTCAGTTGAACGATATTGAGAACTTCAACGTACAAGTATCACAGAACAGCTATCTAGCAACTACCGCAACTGATCGTTCAACCTCGTGGCAAGTGAAAAAATGCGTAAACATCTAGAAATAATAAGAAAAAACAGCAAATTGGTCGAAGGAATTTATCATTATCATTTACTCTGATAAATGTTTAAAAAAACTTTTCAAATTTCAATCCTTCAAATTTTCTCAATGACTTCACCGATTTTCAAAAATGAAGCGGGGAAATATAGAGAATAAAAAGCTCTTTTCATTGCGGCGCCACTTGACGCCCCTTCTCATTTGAAAAAAGTTTGGGGATGACACCCCCGCTTAGAGGGTTGAAGATTTTGCAATCATTTTTGGGGCAAAAGTTGTCCCACTTACAAACAAAATTTACGTGTTTTTGGACTTTTTGAGAAAAAAAATTCGCTGGCCGTTATGCCTTGCGGAACGTTTTCGATGGGCCACCCTGTATGTTGACAGGTGCCTGCTATGTTTCTATATGCAAAATATGAAAGACAACCATCACAACTTGACAAAACAATGTTTCAGCTGATATATTTTTTTATTAAAATTTATCCTAAAAATACTGAAGTAATGAGGAAGTTAAAAATAAAATCTTTTGTGTGCCATGGTATATGATTTATGATAGTTCTTGTTTCCCTCCGTGCACTATAGTCCTAGTTAATATCCATCATGAATAAATAATTATTGTGTAATCACTAGTTTACCAGATACTTTTTACCAATTATATATGCTAAAGTTGTATTGTAATCACTACATACTGATGAGAAATACTGAGTTTCTTTTTCATAAGAAACTCTGGCAACCATAATAATATATTTTCTTTTTACCTTCTAAGACCACAATCCAGCATTAGATGCCAATTTATTGTAAAATTTATTATAGGTAGTTTAGTTAATTTTTTTAATTTGAAGATTTTTAGTATATTTATTATTATGCTATTAAATATTTATTATTAATAATTGACATTCCTATTGATAATCTGATCATTTTTATGTTTTCATGAAGCATTACTATACGTATTCCAAAAAATATCTATATTCTACTTTTTTTTCTTTTTATACAGGGTGATCTAAATAAATAAATAGGGCTAATAATTTTAGAATTTTTTTTTCGTGAGAATCCTAAAAATCGCGTTTTTGATAGTTTATTATAGTGAATTATACATAATATGTTCCATGTATGATGAGTTGTGTGTTTTAAAAAAGTAAAATATTATTTTCCATTAGGTTAGTCCTATTATATTAAACACTGTTTATATTTAGTTTTACTTTAATTTTTCCAATACTTTATTATTCATTAGTGCCTTAAAATGCCTTACTTTATATAAAGTTTGTTAAAAGTTCCATTTATATATTAGTTATAGGAAACCTTTTATAAACATTTACCAACAGTAAAATAATATTTTCCATTAGAATAGTTCCATTATATTAAACGCTGTGTATATTTAGAATTAAGTACAATTTTTCCAAGGAGTGCCTTAATAAAAATGCCTTACGGTTTGTTCCAACACAGCGGATGTTGTACTGTTGTACAACAGTGTATGTTGGAACGAAGCTTTTATAAAAAGTTTGTTAACAATTCCATTTATATTAGTTATAAGAAACGTTTTATAAACATTTACCAATTTGAACAATAAAGTTTCATTTTTTATCACCTGTATTTTATTTTATGAAATAATTATTTGCTCTAACCAGGGATGGGTAGGCAGAAAATTTCATATATTCTATAGTATTTTCTACGCGTAGAATATTAATTTTCTATGCTATGTTACCCAACCCTGGCTCTAACGTTTTCCGACATTTGTTTTAAAAGATTTTTTATTTTCAGGAGGAAAATCCAAAGTAAGCTGTAATATGTGTGGAAAATTATTCAAAAATACCAATAGTCTCAGAGCACACACTTCCTTGGACTGTCTAAAGAGTTGGTATTTTTTCTGTCAAGAATGTGATTTTCAAACTAAGAGGAAATTCAACCTGAAGATGCACTATATTTCGAAACATGGAATTAGAGTTGACACTGACGCACTCAAGAGAGATATGGTTATATTAGATGAAGACGGTAGTCCAAGTGAAATAATGAATTGAATGCTTGGATATTGCAAAATTACTTGCAATTTATGAAAATCATATCTAGAAAATTCTATTTATTTATATATATTTTTTATATACCAGGTGTTTCTCAAAAGTGGCTCACCTTTAATTTTTTTATTTTTTAAGATAACAAAACGAGATTTTTTTAACAAAAGACTGATTGACGTATTCAATTGTTTTCGGTCACTTCCTGTTTTACCGGAAATGACTACAACCAAAGATAATTCTATTAACTATAATATTCTTTGCTACAACTTTTGATTTTTAACACTCTCGGTATTTTTTACTTTATTTCGGAATTTTTTAACCGGCCAGGATAAGACACGACATTAGATGATAAAATCTATTTTTCAAAGGCTCCTTGATTAAAAAATAACGTTTTTTTCACAGCCATGTCACTCACTTGAATTTTTTTAAGCGAGAATGTCAAAAGTTGACATAATATGTCATTCTATTCAAAGTGTCATTTTCTAATAATAAATTAAAATATAATAAAGTAGTAAAGTAACAATATAATAAAGTAAAAACATAAAGTAAAAAAACACCGAGGGTGCCATTTAAAAATCAAAAGTTAAAAAAATTAAAAAAAAAGATAGGGCCACTTTTGAGACAACACCCGCTAAAGCTACCTATAGAGTTTTTATTTTGAGGATGTCAAAATATTTGAACTGGTAATAATTATCAAATAATTTTATGGATAAAATTTTGTATATGTTACAGACTACAGTAAAAATCAGAAATAAGTATATACAGGGTGCTACAAATTCGAGGTACGAGCATTGGTATCTCGTTAACCGTAATAGATACGAACATGGTTAAATTGGGGCAAAGTTGCGCTTTGGGATGTTCATCCCAATACGCAACATCCCAATACGCAACTTTGCCCCTATTACGGTTACCGAGATACCAATGCTCGTTCCTCGAATTTGTAGCACCCTGTATAGTGAATGTCATCGATGGTCATTTCGCCAACTTATCCGCGCTTTTTTTTTCGATCATACACTATAAAACTCGGTATAAACCAATTTTTCTTATAATCTAAGATAAACCTTAATGGATTTGTGGTAGGGGAGACCGGTGTCGATAGTAACAAAATTTGATTTTTGATTTTTCGTGGCTTAATCTTACTATTTGAAAACTGGATTTAACTGTTTTAGGAAAGTGCATAATGTTAAGAATAGCAGCTTCGAATGCAAACTTATAAAATATTTACTGGTATAAAACTACAAAGTCATTTTAGGGACCTTGACAGATGTTACAATCGCCACCTACCTGGTGTCAAAAGTAACAAGGGCGGTGTTAATTGTAACAATGTTATTTGAATGGTACAAAAAACAAAACCATTAAAAATGCTTAAAAAACTAATTTATTTGTTTTACCGAAAATCAACTTTTTTATATCAAAGTCATTATTGGAACTTAAACTTAATCTAAAGTGTTAAATAATTGTTAGATATTAGTCGGAGTCATCATCCGAGTTACAATTTCTGCAAATGTAGAATGGACTTTTGTCTGTGCAGTTTAAATGAGCCCACTGGTGGCAGTTTCTGCATTGCAACCAATCCCCATTGCTTACAGAATATGCTCGACAACACACTAAACAGAAAGTTTCATTATCATCAGAAGAATCTGATGTGGAGAAGTCTTCTGTTGGCTTCTTAATTATTGTCTTTTTTTCGCAGTTTTTTGAGTTTTCGAACCTCCTCTTTTGGAATTATCTTGAACATTTTGCGTCTTGCTGGATTTTTTTTCTTTAGATTTTCTTCTTGAATTAAGTTCTTTTCTGGCGTATCGGTCAAGATTGCAGTTTTTCTTGTCATTCGGCCCCCTTTTTTTGGTTTAGAAAGATCTGCTTTGGGTAAAGGTTTTAGAATATCGGGTGTAATGAATATTGTAGATTGTGGTTGTAGTGAACGAGTAGTTTCTCTATTTGTAAATTATAATGTTGGTTTATTTTTTGGTTCAATGGTAGTCCTTGGTGTTCCTGGTTGAGACTGAATTAATGAATCTGGTTGGGGATCAGTTGATGGGTTTAGTTGGGGCGAAGAGGCATCCCGAGTGGTTGATGGGCCTGGTTGGGGCGAAGGGGTGTCTCTATCAGTTGTTGGTCCGGGTTCTGTTTGGTGGGTATTAAGTGGTCTGTCAGCAACAGTGGATGGTAGAAAATCGGAATCTGAAAATATTTCACGATTAAAAGGCCAAATTCCAGTG